TCGACTATTTTTTTCATTGTAGACTAGTAGGAGCTGTACCGTTTAGTCGACTAGTCGACTAGACCCGCACATCCCCAGTACATACGGGTATATAAGATGGCGGCGTGCATCCACTCATTCAGATTTTTGCTTCAGAGCAGATCGCTTCATGAGCGTTTTCTCTCGTCTAAGAGAAATCTTCAAGAAACTAAGAAGCCTTCACTGCAGGAGATTCTCGGCTGTGTCAGAAAACAGTGCATTCAGTGGTGTGTTCGCCTCTCCTTAGCACAGATAAATGTTGTGATCCACCCCTGGGCACTCCAGCCTAAAAGAATAATTTCCTACAGCTTGCATGGCTGAGAGTGTCTTTCTAGATGTCTTTCCAACCATGTGTTTCTGAGTGCGGTATTTTCCTTACCTCTGATGACGGACATGATCGCTGTCTCACGTGTCTTGGCCACAAGCATGCTGAGACCGCTTTCCCTGCACACCATGGCCATCCTGCAAGTACACCAGGCCAAGGCGCTTAAAAAACTGCACGAGGGTAGTTCTGGCCCAGGGATGATGCGTATCCGAGGAGGAGACTCCTCAACAGGGGCGTTGAGCTTCCCCCAGGAAGAGAGTGCAGTCCACTTCTTAGGGCGCCGTTAAGTCTTCCCAGAGCACCTCGAAGCGTCCCAGAGATGGGTGACCCGGAGATGGAAGGGTTGCCTTAGTGCTGTTTCTGTCTCCCCGCGTCTTTATAAAAGTCACAGAGGGTGTCCTGTCCCCACTTTGGGAGAAGGGCATCCGAGTCCTCAACTCAATCTCGACGACTGGCTTATATTAGCTCACTCGTGAGATCTGTTGTGCGAGCACAGGGATATGGGGCTTCTGCATCTCAGCCACCAGGGGCTTCGGGTCAACTGGGAAAAGTGCAAGCTCTCCCCTGTGCAGAGCATCTCTTTTCTCGTTATGGAGCTGGACTCAGTCAACATGACAGCACGTCTCATGAAAAAACATGCTCAGTCGGTGCTGAACTGCCTGAATTCATTCAGGGGTAAAACGGCGGTTCCTCTAAAACAATTTCAGAGGCTCCTTGGGCATATGGCATCCGGAGCCGTGGTTGCGCTGCTCGGGTTGTTACATATGAGAACACTTCAGCACTGGCTGCACAGACAAGTAATGAGATGGTCATGGTGCCGTGGCACTCACCGGGTCGGTGTTACCCCGGTTTGTCACCGACTTTTCAGCTCATGGTCGGACCTTGGTTTTCTACGGGCAGGTGTGCCCCTGGAGCAAGTGTTGAGGCATGTTGGTGTCACAAATGATGCCTCCATGTGGGGCTGGGGCACTGTGTGCAATGTGCACGCAGCTTCAGTCTCCTGGACAGGACCTCGACTGCAGTGGCACATCAATTACCTCGAGTTGCTGGCAGTACTGCTTGTTCTTCGTTGGTTTTGTCCTTTGCTGCAAGACAAGCATGTGCTCGTCCACATGGACAACACTGCGACGGTTGCGTCGTTGATCAACCATCAGGGTGGGATACACTCCCGTCGCATGTCACAACTCGCCCGTTATCTCCTCCTCTGGAGTCAGACGTGGCTCAAATCGCTGTGTGCCGTTTATGTTCCGGGGAGCTCAATCATGCAGCCAATGCGCTCTCACGACAGCTTACCCTTCCAGGAGAATGGAGACTCCATCCCCTGCCGGTCCAGCTGATTTGGAGTCGATTCAGGGAAGCCCAGGTGGACCTGTTCACTTCTCAGGAATCCTCCCACTGCCAGCTGTTCTACTCCCTCATGAGGCACCCCTCGGCATGGATGCTCTGGCACACAGATGGCCCCGGGGTTTACACAAGTACGGCTTTCCCCCAGTGAGCCTCCTTGCATAGACCTTGTACAAGATCAGGGAGGACAAGGAGCAGATCCTGTTGGTTGCGCCATATTGGCCCACCCGGACCTGGTTTTCCGATCTCACGGAAGTCTGGTTCGGAGTCTTGCTTGCAGCACCATTCCGCTGGTTAAGATATGTGCGCTTATCTTCTTACAGTAAGTTCCCCATCTGGTGAATCCTGGTTGATTCCTCCAACACCCTGTGGCATTCAGACTTAGCAGAGAAGTCTGTTGCCACGTCCAGTATTTGGGTTGCATGACATTAGTCACCCCCTTTACTGGACTTAGTGCCATTCATGAGATTCCTTTGGTAATCCTGTATGTTTTTTTCAATGGTACAGTTTCCCTTGGTAAACCCGTGTCTTCCCTAGTTAGTTTGTTTACTGTCAGTTCCTGTTGTGTTCTTCTGAACTCGGGTCACGACAGTTGTCAGACGGTGCTGTAACCAGTCTTACTGTTCACATTCCTATTCAGATGTGTCTCTGCACCCCAACGGTTGCTGAAATCTAGTATAGTGAATGTCGGAACAACCCTTTTTTGGCTTTTCTGGTAAGTCCGTATATTTAATAAATGATCTGGCTTATTGGGCGTTGGGTAGGCTACGGATCGAGGTGCATCTGTCCTGACATGCTTGCTTATCAGCACCTGCACCTTCAATTTTCGTAACACAGTTCTGGTTGTGGCGCTTTCCATAGGGACCGCTAATGTCGAAGTAACATTGAACGTGACTAACTGATAGGGTCTCATTACATATGTAACCTCATTCCCTGTTATGTCCCTCAAGCCACAATCGTGAACTGCGCTGAATGCAGGGATGCCTCTTGGCTTTGCTTACCAGTCTGTGGAAATAAATTCCGATGCTTCATCATGGGATTAGTAGTTCATTCATTGATAAGGACACAGTCTCCTACTTTTGTCTGCTTCCGATTTTCAAATATTTTATTTTTGCTGTAAATCTTAGAGTCGGTTTGTTTGGTTTCAGGCTCAGAGTTTTTGTACCTGGAGCATTGATTTCAGGTTTTGCACAAATGTCACGTTTTTGAGATCTGGTTGAAAATATTGCCCTTTAATTATATGGTTTAGAATTTATATATACTATATGTATATATTTACACTTATTATTCATTTAAATTAATCAACCTTATGTGTGATTTTGAGCAGATCCCACACAAATCACCCAGGGTCCAGTGGACATGGAGATCATTGTTGGGGAGAGCATCGTACTGCCCTGCCAGATCTCCTGTGACCCCGCTCTGGATGTTTCATTCTCCTGGGCCTTCAATGGGCAGCTCCTCAATAAACTGGACCAGCATTATGAGCATGTGGGTGGGGTAAGTCATATTTTTTAGATATGCTTTCTGTCTGTATTCTGCTTTATACTGTTTAACGTGTCATAGAAGTGTGTAAAGATGTTCAACAAAAATCTAGCATTTCAACTTCACCAAACATTTTTTTCACACTTGTGCTGTGCTGATTATCCTTTACCTAATTTGGTGTTCCCAGTCAAAAATTACCAGGCCTTTTGAAAATTGCTTGTAAACCTATCATAATGCTATATTATCACTAAATCTTGTATTCAGTCTTTTTGCCATTTTGTTTTCTTTCAGTTAGCACTTTTTGTATTCCTTTTTGGAACTGATTAATCATAGGTCTCATTGATCTGTGCTTATGCAAAAATAATTTTGACAATGTTCAGTCAAAAACTGAGGTTCATAAGTTCAAATCAATGAGGTCTGCAATCAGGCAGTTTCAAAATGCAAATTGAAACTGCACATTGCAAATATGACAGTTGTCGTGGACCAATTTAATTTAATTAAAATAAAAACTTTTATTTTGCCGGTCATATGACTGGAGTCTGCATCATATTGTATGTGAATGCATATGATTTTAAACAAATTTATTAAAAAATAACTATTCATTTCTTTGTGTAAAGCCTTTCTAATGAAGAAAAATACTGAGTGTTCCTTTAATGTCTCTGTACTGTACATCTCTAACAATGAAATTAATTTATTATACTCATTATACTCAACAAATGACAGATTCTGAGGGAGTTGATCCAGTAGTTTACTGTATAATGCTATTATACTCTGAGCCAGACCTACTGTTAAAATGTGGGAGACTTGGCAGAGATCAATTCATCACTCTCTTTTTGAGGTTTTTAGCTGTTCCTTCCACTGCTTAGCAGCCCACTATGTTCACTTTGAGCTCTTTTCCCTCCTCTTCACAGAATATAAATCAATCCATTAAAGTTTTGCCTTCAAGGATCCCAAGTGTAATATCCTCATATGGCTTTTGAATGGTCAGATCTCACATCTCAGACTGCTTTTCTCTGGGATGTGATGACGCCTTTCTAGAAATAGTAATGATTTTAAAGACTGAGAGAATGCCCTAATGAGGACTGACTGGTCAATATTGGATGTGCATGACTCAACTGAGAAATCCTTAAACAGATTCATTAATCACCACCCCCAAAGCCATCAAAAAGATGATTTCTTTTTCAAATAAGGTTGCATATTTCAGAGAATTTAATGAGTTATCTTTTATATAATTACGGTAATTTCATGATAAATCTGAACATTTGGGACACACATAGGAAACGCTCTCATCTTGATTTAAGCCAGTGATTCTTATCAGTAATTATATTCCAGTTCTTCTTATAAATTTCTCAGATGCCACCCGTCTTGTAGGATTATCAACATGAAGTTCACAGCTTGGATGAATTCATTTCCATAATGAAACTAAATTTGTAGCCTAATGCCCTTACTGCTGAAATTGCAAATTTGCCTCTTGTTTGCCAACCACAATCTCCCCCTCAGATAAGAGCATACATCTTATCTCATTTAATTGATTTGAAATCTAAGCTCTTTTATTTAATTAGTGAAGTTGTCTGTGCCAAAGACTTCAGTGCTGCACAGACAATATCAACATCCAAGCGAATCAGTGTCTATAAACAATAGCAATAAAGAATCCATTTTAGTAAACTGAAGATTTTTTACAGATAGGTGTAGATAGAGTAAGAATTAAATGCACCCACTGATAGCACTATTTATTTGCATATGCTGTCTGCATGGTTTTAGCAACTTTTTCACTAAGAGAATTATGCAAATCAGGTAGCAATATAAAATCACCCACAAAAGTGATGCTGTTTGTGAACAATTTTTATGGAAATCGTGATGCATGTTTTTTTTCAGGATTCTTTAAGGAATAGGAAGTTCCATAGAACACCATTTATTTCAAATAGAAATGTAAATGTCTTTATTGTCACTGTTGATCAATTGAATGTATCCTTGCTAAGTAAAAAATATTCATTTTTTATTGATTTAAAATCTTACTGACCTCAAACTTTAAAACAGTAGTGCAAGTCACGCAAATATATTTTTTATTAGGACTTTCAGTATAGAATGTTAATTTAATGCATACATAAATGCTTATGTTAAAAATCATCTAAATGGAGAGCAATGGAGTGAAACAAAATGCTGGAGTCTTGAGTTTTTCAAAGTTGTCTGTTCTTTTAAAATGGTCTATTCAGTGCTTTCAGTCTTTGAATTAAATTGGATTCTATTCTCTGCATATATTGATGCATGCAATTAATCAGCATGTCAATTAAAATGATTCAAAGTTTTAATCAGTTGAATCAGTTACTTTACAATAAATAAGGTCCTCATTATAATTATAACTTTATAATATATGATGATTCTGATGCTCTTTTTACTTGTTAATTACATGTATCATCATGAATATAATAGTATATATATCTTTATTACTTTACCTGTTTTCACAGTACTTCATCTATTCCCTTGACAGAGCGCTTTTAAAGTTCACCTCCACTCTTATGAACAACTTTCTTCATCTTTATTAGATTAACAAAGGCATTTAATTGTCGTGTGTGGTTTTAGTATTCATCACTTGTATGGTTTCGTATCACAGGGTTTTAGCACACTGAATCCAATCACACTACCTCTTAAATGTGATTAAGCTCTAATTAGCCAATTAGCGAGTGAGTTTGGTATCCGGATCCTGTGCAGTGCCGAAGGAGCCTAAGGCTTGACCAGAGGAAATATTTATCCATGACGGACATTTCAAACGTAGCAGCGAACAGCCTTTGCCAAAAGTCATCCATTAGCTGTGGAGTTGGGCCACATTTTCATTTCCAAACCCAGCAGGGTGTCTACACTTACTGAATCACTTGCCGGCAAACATAGCAAACAACTCACACATCTTCCTGTCGCTTTAAAGCCCCAGTTGATAGAGTGGATAGTAATGCGTATGTGTGTGTTTATATCTCTAGAGTACATCTGGAGATTTGATGATACGGAATATACAGCTGAAGCACGCCGGAAAGTATGTCTGTGTGGTCGACACGGATGTCGAGAGTTTATCAGCTGTGGCTATTTTAATCGTGAAAGGTAAGAGAGTGATGGCCAGGCAACTGGGGGAGCTTCAAATGCAGGGTTTGGATTTGGAAGGAAAACCTGATTGAAAGATACAAATGCTTGCTTTGATTTGCCAAGGAAATGTATGTCTGTTGAATTGATCTGTTATTACATGTTCCATTAGAGGTCATTAGAGGAACATATCAAAGCTGTTTATCAAAGGGATCGATATCTTTCAATTGAAATTAGATTGACATGCAAACTTTTACTGCCAGAGCCTATAATAATGCTTTATAACAGTGTAGACGCAGGGTATGAAATTCACACTCAGCAAGCACAAAATGCAAGTAAAAACTGTCTGTAGCAAGCAAATAAAACAAGTTGGCCTTACATACGGATCTTTAAATGTGGGGCCATGTCTCAAACAGGGGGCCGGGGTCTACTAGAGGGCCTCAGCAAACTTCCAAGGGGGCCTCAAGATGACTTAAAATGAATTAGTTGGCTCCAACAATATTTTTCTATGGGTTTTTAAAATAGGGTTTTTCAATTTATGAGTAAACAACGCCTGTGTTAAACATAAATTGACGATACTTGGACGTTTCAATCTACAATGTGAATTACACACACCCATACTGAAAATGCAAATTTTGAAGCAAATTTTTTTTGTTGTTATTTTTAAAAATGTATGTTTGTAACTACATAAGAAATCTGGAGTGTAAGTGTTTGCAGTTTACATTGTACAACAAAGTTTACATTGTACAACAAAACAAGTATTGTCAAGTTATACAGGTGCATCTCAATAAATTAGAATGTCGTGGCAGAAGGCCAACAATTCACTAGAAATGTTTTTTTTATTGGTCTTATGGAGTATTCTAATTTGTTGAGATAGTGAGTTGGTGGGTTTTTGTTAAATGTGAGCCAAAATCATCACAATTAAAAGAACCAAAGACTTAAACTACTTCAGTCTGTGTGCACTGAGTTTATTTAATACACGAGTTTCACAATTTGAGTTGAATTACTGAAATAAATGAACTTTTCCACGACATTCTAATTTATTGAGATGCACCTGTATTTACCACTGACCTTACTTATGAATTGAAAAACACCATTATAACAACCCATAGGAAAATCTCGAGGGAACCCATGGTGAATTTGTCTTCCTGGTTTTGACGTCACAGCTATACTGCGCTCTATAGATGGGGAGTCAAATTATAAATGTCTGATTTCTATAACCTAGAATTGTACAGTGGGTATTGAAAAGAATCACCCCACTTTAAAATAATCACATTTTGTTGCTTTGCTGCCTGAAATGAAGACAGGCACAGTTTTTGTTTTAATTCAGCTGTATTTACTCAGTGTAACCTATAACATCCAAGTGAAAGAAATAACACCATGTCAGAAAAAAATAAAAAACAGAATCACTAAGTTAGAAAAAGGATCACCCCCTTGTGACAGTATTTTGTTGAACCACCTTTTGCTTTAATTACAGTCTTTAGTCTGTTGGGTTATGTCTCTAGTAACTTTCCACATCTAGACTTTGCAATATTTGCTCACTCTTCTTTGCAGAACTGCTCAAGTTCAGTTAAATGTGATGGTGAGCGTTTGTGGCCTGCAGTCTTCAAGTCATTCCACAGATTTTCAGTGGGGTTTAAGTCTTGGCTCTGATTAGGCCTTGCAAGGACATTCACCTTTTTTTCTTTCAACCACTATGTGCTCAGTTTTGTTGTGTGCTTTGGGTCATTGACATGTTAGAAGGGAAACCTTCTTCCCATTGACAAATTTCTGGCAGAGGGCATATATTCCTCAAGAATTTGATGGTATTTTGCCCCATCCATTTTTCCTTCTATCCTGACAAGTGCTCCAGTCCCTGCTGCAGAAAAACAGCCATAACAGGATATTACCACCTCCATGCTTTACTGTAGGAATGCTGTTATTTGGATGGTGAGCTGGATTGGATTTCCGTCAGACATATCGTTTGGTGTTGAGGCTGATTAATTCAATTTTAGTCTCATCTGCCTCAGAACCTTCAAGGTGTGTTTTGGCAAAGCTCAGTCGTGACTGCATGTGGCCTTTCTTGAGGAGTGACTTTTTTTTCTTGCATTTGTGGAGAATTTGTGATATTGTTGTCACATGCACACAATGACCACTCTTTGTCATAAATTCCTACAACTGCTTCAGAGTTGCTGTAGGCCTCTTGGTAGCCTCTCGGCCCAGTTTCCTCCTGGCTCTTTCATCCAGTTTGGAGCGACGTCCTGATCAGGAAGGATCTGTGTTGTACTCTCCCTGCTGTACAAAAGCTCTTTTCATGCTGAGCTAATCAAAATGACCACAGCTGATCACAGTTAAAAGTCAAATGGCTGTGTGTGCCATTGAGAAGGTGATTAACTACACCTGATTGAGTTTACAAGTAATTTTTAGGAGGGGGGTGATCCTTTTTCCAACTCCGTGATTTTTTTTTTTTTCTGACATGTTGGTGCTATATCTTTCACTTGGATGTTATAAGTTGCACTGAGTAAATACAGCTGGATAAAACAAAAACTTTGTCGGTCTTCATTTCAGGCTGCAAAGCAACAAAATTAGATTTTTCAAAGGGGGGGTGATTCATTTCTACACCCACTGTAATTTAAATGAATACAATTGCAAAACTCAATAGGCATTTTTCAGTGAATATACATTTGTCTAGTTCTTCCAAGCTCTAAAATGTTGTATCAGGTAGAAATTGTAAGTAAAAAGTATTCATATAATTCATTATTAAGATTATTGAGATTAAGTAACTGGAACAGGCATGAAAAAAAGAGAAGGACCCCTGAAGGACATTCAGCTCCTAAAACTTCCAGCAGTTTAATTTACAGAAACTAGGAGTGTCTGGCCTTTGAATATTATGCACAATGGGGGGCCTTGGTTTAAAATGAATTATGTAAATGTTAGTCAGACCAAAGATGCATGCAAACTCCTCACACCAAAATCAAATATGATTACAAAAAATTACAATTTGTCTTGATGATTTGTCTTTGAGTGCCTTTTAGGTGAGAAGCAAACACTGTCTGGTCTTATTATTGATGCTACAAGTGACCTGCGCTGACAAAACCACCAAACATTATGCTCCATTTCGTTATATTTTCCCCCAAAGGAGTGTGAATTTGACAAAGGAAGACAACTCTCTGCACATTTTTAATTGGAAATTTGCAGCTACTTGCAGCTTTTCAAAGGAGCCGTGCTGTAGCTGTTAAGAAAACAGCTCAAGCCTCTGAAAAGCTTTCCTGTGATTCTCAAAGAGATCTAGTGTTCCCACAAAAGCAACCGCTTAAAATGTAATAACGCCTTTTAGAGACTGGCCTTATATCACAGTTTAGTGGGGCGATAAGCGGAGAGCTTCCTGGCAGGGTGTGAGCAAGGTTAGATGTCAGTGAAGGTAACTTCATTTCTAATTGCTAATTCACTGCTAATTGTCTAATTGAATCAGGTCCCCCAGGAGCTCCAGATGGCGTAACAGTGGAGGAGATCACAGACAGCACGGCTCAGCTTTCTTGGAGACCCGGCCAGGATAACGGCAGCCCCATCACAAGCTATATCATCCAGGCCAAGACAGCTTTCACAGTGGGCTGGCAAGCAGTGAACACGGGTAACAATACAGGATTAGCTAAAGCTAGTCAAGCGGAGCATCAATTCAGCAAGAGACTGAAATTACCATAGCACGAAAAAAAATCTTACTGACCCTATATTGAATAGTAGTGTATGAATGGTAGTGTAGTGTAAATGGTAGTGTAAATACACCGATCAGGCATAACATTATGACCACTGACAGGTGAAGTGAATAACACTGATTATCTCTTCATCACGGCACCTGTTAGTGGGTGGGATATATTAGGCAGCAAGTGAACATTTTGTCCTCAAAGTTGATGTGTTAGAAGCAGGAAAAATGGGCAAGCATAAGGATTTGAGCAAGTTGGACAAGGGCCAAATAGTGATGGCTAGACAAATGGGACAGAGCATCTCCAAAACTGCAGCTCTTGTGGGGTGTTCCCGGTCTGCAGTGGTCAGTATCTATCAAAAGTGCTCCAAGGAAGGAACAGTGGTGAACCGGCGACAGGGTCAAGGGCCGTCAAGGCTCATTGATGCACGTGGGGAGTGAAGGCTGGCCCGTGTGGTCTGATTCAACAGACGAGCTACTGTAGCTCAAATTGCTCAAGAAGTTAATGCTGGTTCTGATGGAAGGTGTCAGAATACACAGTGCATCACAGTTTGTTTCGTATGGGGCTGCATAGCCGCAGACCAGTCAGGGTGCCCGTACTGACCCCTGTCCACCGCCGGAAGCACCAACACCAGGCCTGTGAGCATCAGAACTGGACCACGGAGCAATGGAAGAAGGTGGCCTGGTCTGATGAATCACGTTTTCTTTTACATCATGTGG